TACATAATATTTGTTTTGTTAAGCAGATACTTCAAAATTGAAACTTTAATATGAATTTTGTAGCGTAGATATTTGGTGAGGTATAGGTATATTTTTTTAATTTTTTTTTTATCAATTTTCTAATCATTTTGTTAGTTTTAATGAATTATTGTTCATTATACATTTATATTATTATACCTACAATATAACCAGAGCATAAACGACTTAAAAAGTTAAAGTTGACTTTTAAAATTTAATTTTCATTAAGGCACCAGGTGCCTATGTCATTTTGTAGTCAAAAATACACTCTGTGGGAATAACAATACCGCCTTGTAGAATCCACCAAATTTAAAATAATATGTTTTTAATTGCTGAAGGGAAATATTCTACAGCAATCATCGATCTTTGTTTCTCAATGTTTTATTCTCAAACTATATCATATATTCATATGTTTAAAAATATACAATATATAAAAGCATTTTTTTTTAATAAAATTATTTGAAATAAAATACAAAATCAGAGATCGATGCGTGTTGTAGGAAGTCTTCTTCTTTCAAATAAAAATATAGACATACAAATCCAACAATTCTACAAAGGTTGAGAGTTATTCCCGTAAAGTCAGTTTTTTCGATATAATACACTATACTTACATTAATAAATAACAAGTTACTTGTAATCAAATCCCAGTTACGAAATTTTATAAATAATTAAATCTATATATAAAATAAAATGAATGACGCTTTTTTCCGCACTCATAATCTTGAAAACTACCCGTCCGTTCACTAGAAATTCAATGAGATGTTAAAAATACAGTCGATTACAACACCAAAGTCTTATCATTTTTTTTTTTATCAGTGTTATCATATTATATGATAGTATCACCTATATTAAATATAATAATAACATAGAACATTATCACGGACTAAGATAATATATCTATATAATATACTATATTGTTACAACGGTATTTAAAAAATATTAAAAATCCTTAGATACAGTTTTTTTTTATAAGCATTAATCTTGTTCAAATCTTGACAAAATACGAAAAAACCACGAAAATTTGCAAATTATTTTCATTTGAGACTTGATGAAAATTTTCTTTTTATAATTTGAAAATGTAATACAAGATTATTCATAAGTCATTTATCAACAAAAATCGATTTTGGTTTTTGATGTACCTAACTCTAAAACGAATGACTGTAGATAGGTACAGGCAATTTTGACTGAATGTTTATAATATTATCATTTCATAGACACCATAAAGTTTTGAAATTATTTTGACTCTTTTTAAGCTTTAACGGACATTGTCAGTTTGTAATTTTTTTATTTTATTTTTCTATAAATATGCGGAAAATTTTATTTGTTTGGTAAAAAGCGTAAAAATTTAATGCAACGGTTTCCCGATATATTTTTACAATAGCAGTTGAAAAATATTAAAAATACATAGGTATAATTTTTTTTTATAAGCATTAAAAGTTCGAATTTTAACAAAATTTAAATCGTTTATTCGGCTCATACCTACCTATTTCAAAAAATTCGGACGCCAACACTGTGGTGCACGCCTGGTCTGTACCTACATCACGCAATCGTTACCTATTGATATCGATTGTAAGAGTACGAATTTACATTTACGATTATCTACAATGTTAAATATTATTATTGTTGTTGGATGAGAAACGTCACTAATACATGTGAGAGTATACCGAGTGTGAAATATCAGAGATTTAAAAATTAATTAATTTTAACGTAAAACCGTAAAAGAGTACTGTGTGTCTGTGTCCTGGCGGCGTACGATGGCCGACAGGACAGGACCTATAGCAGTATAAATAATTAATATCACAAAATAACAAATTAAGTTTTGCTTAAAACATTTCATAATTTGAAAATGCCATTGTGTGTATAAAATATAGTAATAATAGACTTATATACTATAAAAGTTTCATCTAGGTTTCATAGACATTATAATGTTTAGAAATTATTTTGACCCCTTTTAAGCTTTAACGGACATTGTCAGTTTGTAATTTTTTTATTTTATTTTTCTATAAATATGAGTAAAATTTTATTTGTTTGGTAAAAAGCGTAAAAATTCAATGCAACGGTCTCCCAATATATTTTTACAATAGAAGTTGAAAAATATTTAAAATACATAGGTATAATTTTTTTTTATAAGCATTAAAAGTTCGAAAAAAATTACATAATACACAAAAGGAGTTAACTAGTCAAAATGTTTTTCCAGGAAACGACGCGGCCGGGATAGTCATCTAGTAAATTATACATTTCAAACTTTACATTCCCAGCGATAAATGTTTGTCGCCATAAAAACTAGATGAAATTTGCAAAAAAAGTAACGCCCCGGCTGAGTGTCGAACTCACGTGCCACGCAATATTCTCGCGCGCACCGAGCAGGCGCGCCTTCCTGGGGCTTGTTAACACGTGTGATATTTTAGTTATATAAACTGATCCGAATTCGCCTTAAACATAAATAACTGATTTAGTATAAAAACCTATAGACTCATATATATTTTGTGCATGTTGTATTTTACATTCCAACAGAATTATTATGAGCTGAACAATGATGTGTGTTTTTTTCACGGCTGTTATTATCTTTTGGAGCTGTAAAAATGTTTTACTTACCTTTTTGGTAGACTGATGGGATTTCTTATTCCATAAACTTAATTTTAGGTACCTACAGGAAGGTGCTTTGCACTGGGAGCCGCGGGTCGACGAATGTTTTTTTTGTCATTTGCCCATTAATTTGATTCATAGTAGTTGACAATAATTATATTATTATCTTGTGGAAATATTAAACACTCCTAAAAAATCGGGATGATCAACTATGACTTAAATACTATTTTTTGTACATTGTATAAACATTTTTTCAACTACAAGATAATGTACTGTTCACATTACCATAAGCGAGTCTCACTTACAACACCACGCGGAATGGCTAAACATTAAAATATAATATGGTTTTCCCTCCATATGCACAGCAAATAATACCCAACAGGAGTTATTCAGACAGTATAGTATATATACGAAATCTATAGCCCGAATAGATCAACCTAAACTCCCTAACCACAAAATTTTACCTTGCCTTAAGGTCCTCGTGCGCTGCAGCGGTAGCGACACAGTCTTACCGCCACTGCCATGACGAAATCATTTTTAATTTTACCACCACTGCTGAAGGCAGCTTTTACAGTTAAAATGTGATTTCCGAAAAAAAACATAGCTTCGTTTTGTTCTTTTAATAATAAATAAATAAATATACTGTTAAATTATTCTTTGAAAGTTTAATAGTTTTTAAAAAAAAAAACTTAATTATTTATGTAATAAGTGACAACGTAGTTAAACGTATGCCTAAAAAGTTGAAAATGAAATTATTTAAAATAACCATAGTTCTACTATATTGAATGATAGTGCATCATTCGACAGTCGACAACCATCGTCGTCCGGTTAAGTTGTTCGATTTTATACCTTTAATTCCAATCGATGTCACATTACATTATTCATTTAATTCGTATATTATCACTCTGTCTTGTGTACTCCGACACTCACGTACACTTATTTTTTTTTATTTAGATAGGTAGGAATAGGTACTAAAACTACGAAATAACAAAACTGAGGTTTAAGTAGATATTAAAAAGCATATAATGTCGAATTAATTATTATTAAAAATGACACCGCCTCGAAACGACGGTACACGAGTAAGTACATGCATATTATTATTATTACAAGCCTGTAAAATACGGGTACTTATTCAATCGTTAAAATATTATAAAATAAGCGTCAAGCCATCATTGCTGCAGGTTTACCGAAATCTTTATTATTGAGATAATAGTCTGTGGAGTAGTCTAACGGATACAATAGAAAAATACAGTTTAAAAATATCTGAAAAAAAAAATTCAAAAATGAATAATACAACGAGCACGTTGTAGTGTAAAATATTTTAAATATTAAAATATTATTTTACGGTAAACGAGAGAATGATAATTTGAGCTTTCGACAAGATAGCGATTTTGTGAAGTTTTTTAAGCCTTTACGCCGAGCTCGGACGTAATAAATGTATTAATAAAAAAATCGTAATAAAAAAAAAAAATTAGAAGCCACACGCCCATTATAGACAGACATATTTTTTCCGTGTCGGTTTTCATCCGTTCTTTTCGTCCACTCGGTATGGAAAAAGTTGTGTACAAGTTTTGAAAAAAATAACAACATAAAAACTACTCAGACATTTTTAAAACATTTACAACTTTTTTCGTACCACTTGGAAAAAAACGGCGTTTGCGAAAACCTTTTGCGGACGCGGAAAACGGACATATTTTTTCTGCTTTAGTTTTTTGATCATCCGTTCTTTTCGTCCACTCGGTACGGAAAAAGTTGTGTACAAGTTTTGAAAAAAAAAACAACATAAAAACTACTCAGACATTTTTAAAACAATTACAACTTTTTTCGTACCACTTGGAAAAAAACGGCGTTTGCGAAAACCTTTTGCGGACGCGGAAAACGGACATATTTTTTCTGCTTTAGTTTTTTGATCATCCGTTCTTTTCGTCCACTCGGTATGGAAAAAGTTGTGTACAAGTTTTGAAAAAAAAAACAATATAAAAACTACTCAGACATTTTTAAAACATTTACAACTTTTTTCGTACCACTTGGAAAAAAACGTCGTTTTTCAAAAACGATTTAGTTGATATTATTGAGTTATGAAATATTTAAGTACTGCGTTTTGTATACCAATAATACCACTAGGGTATTGGTATGGCGCGGCTAGAACGACGGTTTCTACGAACAATATTACTGTACATGGGCGTGTGGCGCTAACGAAACTTAACGATAGATATAAAGCATAATATTTAAATGCAAATAGCAATAGTAATTAACCGCGAAAAAAATTGAAAAAAAAATTATACTATATTTTGTCTGCTACTAGTTATATAATATCGAAAAAAATTGTATAAAATGTTGAAAACCATGTTTTGAATTATTGGAGATGTCGATCAAAAACGTCATCATCATCATAGCTAGTATTCCATCATATCGGTGTCACCACCGTTCCCACCGACGCCGTTGCCGGTTTCGTCGTCGCTGTCATTCGACCGCTTGGCCTTCTTGCGTGGCGCGGTGTCCTCATCCATGTCCTCGTCTTCATCCTCATCTAGAGCACGGCGACGCACGAGCGCGGAGGCCACGATGGCCGCGGCGGTGTCGTTATTTAAGTCGAGTGCGAGTGCCCGGCGACGGAACGGCGGGATCTCGTCATAGTCGTGATCGCTGGCGGTGACGGTTTCGGTGCTGGCGGCGGAGTCGGTGGCGGAGTCGGTGTCGGAGTTGTAGGTAGATCCGGAGCCGTGGTACATGTTTCTGGACGTGGTGGCTACGCAGTATAAGGAAGGTTGCGGGGCTGTGTATCTGATCGGCGAGGAGGCGTATGTGGTGGTGTTAGAGGGCGAGGTGGAGTATGAGGCGGAGTTGGTGGCGACGCGTAAGGCAGATCCTGCTGCGCCGGATGCCGCGGCGACGGGGGCCGCAGCAGCCACTGCGGCGGCGGCGTTGGAGAACGTGGTCTCGGTGGGGTTCGGGAGTTGGAGCGCCGAGATGTCGAAGGTTGCGGAGGCCTGGTAGCTAATCGATGGGAGGCGCATGACGTCTGACCCTGTTGGCATGGGGGCAACTCTGGCGACCCTGGGCGAGAGGACATTGGCATCGTTTCGGTTCTGGGCACCGTAATTCGTCTCGAGGTCGTTTAATCTCTCCTGGAGGACTACCAGAGGAGTGAAGTCCATATATTCAGGATCCTGACGGTTGCGTATGCGTTCCGATTCCGCGTTATCCTCGCGTAGCCGATCGTTCCTCATGTACGAAACTAGACGCCGCAGCTCTCACCTCAACTGCAACACAAATGTCATAGGGGGTCGTTATGATAATAATAATAATAAAAGATAGGTTAGGACTATTAACGGGGTCGTGGCTATGATGGAAAAACCCACGGGCCAGGGGTTAATACCTGGGGGGATCTCAATATTTATACCACCACCTTGGGAGTTCATTTTTTCCGTAAAAAAAATTCAGTACCCATGAGGCACTATAGTCCCAAATTTCCTGGCCCTATTACATTGCCGGACCCGAAGAGAATCCCCGCCTCCTCCCCCTCTTGACAGGCCTGGCTGTTATAATATAATTATCGCGAAGCAATACAACATATTATATGTACGGTGGTATAGCGCAGGCGAGACGCTTTTCGACAGAAATCATCGTGAATCCCTTCGACCCTTCTAGGGTTAGGCAGAAAAGTTTGATATTTACTTTAGTAATATGTTATATTCACGAGCGTAACAAGGAAAATTATATTATGTTGAGGGGTTTGCAAACCGCTATTAACCGAAATGTATACATACATACCGATGTAGGTAAAAACAGTAATGCGATCATGCTTTTGAAAAGTTATTTTAATTTAGTATTATGTTTATGATCAGTCCACCTTTTTAAAGTTTTGCTCCTCAACTCCTATATATATTTAGAACGAATATTTAAAATGTTGATTATTCGAAATTCAATTTAAACATCTGAAAACGTGTCCTTATCATTCTCTCGAGTAGACAAATAATTAACGAATTCAAATTAGCTTTTTACTTGAAAGGGTCTCCAGACACAAAGAGATCATTGTAAACATCATTTAAAATTAATATATTCATCGCTAAACGTTCTTTATTTTAAATATTTGGATTTAACTTCGAACAGGTTTTTTTTATTTAATTAGGTAATTTATAGTGTCATTAAAATATAATAATATAGACCTCATTTGCATATAAACTAATCCATGGCAAATTTAATTAATATGGTATAAGTAATATAAATTGTTTTTTGAGTACATATTTAATTTTAGTTCTTCAATTGGTTAAAAAAATTTACCCATGTTTTTAAATGTTTATGTTATTGAAATACTATATAAAAAAAAATACAGAAATTAGGACAAAAAATTAATTATATAACATACCTAACACGACCACGACCTATGTATACCTGTGTAATATAACACGTATAGAAGATTAGAGAACAGTAATATATTACATACCTATTATAATATTTATCTATTGAACTGGAACACCAAAGCATGTAATTTCCAAACAATATAACAAAAACTAATTATTATTGACAAACTACAACTGTATATTTGATAAATACTATTATCGGCCAATATATAAGTTTTTTTGTACGAATTATTGTTTTTTTTTTTACGAAATGTCCGGATACCATATCCGTGTACAATTAACCAAACACTAGTATAATAATATTTATTATAATATTTTATTTCAAATAAAAAAATCGTCGACAAGTCAGACGAGATCGTTTTATAATAATTATAAAACATTATATTATTATTATGTAGGTACAACAAACGAGAACAACTAACAATAATCAGACGATATTATATTAATAGTATAGACTATAGGTGTAATATAGACAGTTGCAGTAGAATAGGATAATGTCATAATATAAGTGATAACAATAAGCGTTGATGAGCGGTCACATTATATTCGACTCTCAAATTAAATAATCTATAATATTATGTTAATGTTTCACATACACAATACGCCTCTTCGAATAATACTTCACGGTATGGCTACCATCATAAATCGTTTAAACTATAATATTATAATAATTATACCGTGTACAATAATTATTGTTCACCAAGACAACGAAAAAATGCGTGTATAGAGTTGCCTATTAAAATATGTTCCTTAGAATCTATAATAGTAGTCACGACGAGGCTCCTTAAGTAGTAATAATTATAGTTTTATTATCCAATAGACATGCATAATATAGATAATAATTATTGAAAAATGTTAACAGAGTGGTCGCCCCCTCCCACCTTTTGGACAGGGGAATTATGGCATCCCATATCCAAACCTAACCATTCATTATACAAAGCGTACCGTTGCCGGAAAGGTTCTATACATATTAAATATTAATATATATAGACGAAATTGGCAGAGGGTCATTAATAATATTTAGTGAGACTCTCGGTACGAATTTTTAAGCGGTATTAATATCCGTTTTTTATTTCATTTAATGCTAATTTCAAAAGTTTACAACCACAAATATAAACAGGCAGGTACGATTATTATAAATAAATAAAAAAATATCATGGCCCGAACACTAATATAGGGTGTAATAATATTTTAATTTTTCGTTTATTTTATTGTAGTTTTAAAACTACATAGCTATAGTTTTAAAAAGTCCGATTCCATGTAAGTTTACACTGTTTATGCTGCGTATATATTATAAATTTATTTGAAACGGTCAATATCCGTATAAAAATTATAAATTTGAACTGAACTCGATTTTTGAAATAGAAAGATACGCAATATTTGAGAACTAGAAATTATAACGATCGTACATTTTTAAACTAAAACTTATATAGGTACCTAGTGCAACAAGTACAAGGTAATAAAACGGATGTTTGCGGTGTTAACTCACTGCTAGGGGGGCGAGGTATGCAGAGCCAAATATAAGTTTTACGCTTTTGGTTTATCGAAAAAAATAGACATTTGTGTTTTCGGGTGTAACACGTCGAGTGGTTTATGGTCACAAAACGAGTAAATCCAATACCGGTTCGCTACAAACAGGTATCAGTGGTCTGCTAAATACAACCTCAAAAATGGATTCGCGACCAATCGTTATGTGTTTCGGAGAAAAACCTGATCGATATATATAATATATAGGTAGGTATATCTACTGTTAAATTTGTGTAAAAACGGACCAATTATTTGTTTGTTTAGTGTCCCTACCTACCTTTCATTTTGTGATGACGATTTAATTTGTTTCGTACTATACTTATTGTGAACAAAACACATATTTACATTTGTAGGTAATATCTGGTATATCTACGTTTTTCAATAATTATATCGCTAACCTATCGTGAAGTCCACTGAGCTATATAATTATATAGTATCATTAGTCATCATTAGTCATCATTCATTATATTGTATTTTGTACCATCGTTAGTGTCATTATCTTCTGCTCACATGTATGCGTTTCACATAGAGGACAGCTGGAGATATGCCACGCTGTAGAAATGTTTTGGGTAGGTATGTATACCATCAGTGGCGTTATATTCAGGACTTTGTCAAATGGGTGATGAGGAGAGGGGGGAGAAGGATATATCCAACAAAGACAAAAAAAAAATTGCAATTTTATATTTTTATGGAAAGTCATAAATCACGGAAGAAAACAATTGAAGGAAGAAAATATTATTCGTTCCTAATCTTTCACCGAGGTCTACACCGCATAATAATATAATATTATTCTATCTAAGTCGTTTATTAAGCGACGTCTCAAATTTACGATGAGCTTTTTTCGATATAATAATAATTATGCAAAGAAATGCTGAAAGCAAAATACATTTTTAAACCGAAGCCGATGTTTATTAATCATACACGAGGTTATCTTTAACTTTGTAAGTTGGAGTCTCTCAGATTTACTAAATCGGGAAAAGTTGGTCGAACATCGACTAATCGTTAATTACGGGTGACTATGTATAAACACAATAGGTAGATGACCACCGAGGACAAACTTCGTCTCACAAAGTGATTAGGCATAAAACCGGTACTACAGTCGTATGGACAATAAAGTTATAATATTTATGTGAAGACGGTGACGGAAACGAGTAGCGATGGTGAAAGGGGGGGAGGGATATCGCGGTGTCGGTGGTCCGTAGTCGTTCGGTCGTAGAAATGCGGTACCTAGCGGTACTTCGTTATGGTGACCGATCGGCCCTTTTTTTTCGATTGGTGGGTAACTATAATATATAAATAATTCGATGGTATAATGACGTGTCGTAGTCGGACTCTACAGAGAAGGTGCGATAATTATATTCAAAAATACAGGTTTTGATTAATGCACCAAGTATAAGAAATGTGAACCCAAAAACATTTCCACTGCACTCGCTCGATGCACGGCTTAACATGGTGACCTGGACTTGGGTATAATATAATAATATGTTAATGTTGATTCCATTTATACATTTATATTAAACTCGTATTATATATTTTTTTATATGGACTATGATCGTTAACTGCACATTTCCGACATTGTAACCATTATTTACATTATCAACACACGGTTTCAATATTTTTTTTTGGTTTTATGTTAATAATAATATGTATAATGTATGTGAATAATATTATGTTTTTAATTAACTCCACGGTTTATTTCGAACGGTGAGATAAACGAAAATAATGATATAACAAATTGGTAGGTAACGAATTTCCGAACCTCCAGTGAGTAATTGAATTTATGCAACAAGGAAATATGGTTCCATTATTATATGTATGCAGTTCATATAGGTAACAAAAACAATATAACATTTACTGTAGATGTGTTTGACTTAATATTTTATTAGAACGACGAACATTATTATGTGTACGCTGTACACATAATTATGTCATTATGTATATACTAAGATTTAAATGGAATAAAAGATAATACTACCAATTTGAACTTCCATACAATACGAACGGTGATGCAATTTATAAACGATTGAATAATAATTACAAGTTAGTGTTTACAAAAATATAGATGGATTGAATTCGCGGTACAGATGAAAAATAGAAGAACGCGAAGTATACTATTATATATACGTATAGTATTACCAGGGTATAAGGTCAATTGATTATGTTCGCAGCGCCTACAAACGGTTTTCCGGTCGAGGTATTAAAAAAACGAAACGTCATTATCGGGATAGGTAACAAACGTAGGTTAGCTGTATATTTCGCAATCGAAGGTTATATAGAATATAGAATATATATATATGTATATAATAAAATATTAATAGAATATTAACGAGTAAAACTCG